CACAGGGGGCATGAGAAGCCGGGGAAGTTTTGTTGCAGGATAGGACGCAGGCACCGGTAATGGAAGATATGCGAGCAGGGGGCGATGAACAGTGCTTGGCCCGGTCCCATGACGTATAAACAGATGCAGCATTCTTGGATGTCGATGGATGAGCTGGAAGAGGACGACCGGGAGGGTGAATGGTGATGATGCTGGTGGTCAGAGGTGGCCTCGGCGGAAGATGGGCGGCTGGGGGGAGGTTGGGAATAGGCGCTGAGGTTGCTCTGGGTGGTGATGTGGCTGTTCGCATGCGTTGCTGAGCTAGAGATGTTGGAGGCATCCGGGATTTTTGAGGCAGTGAGGCTGGATCGGCGGAGGCAATGCTTCAATTGTCGAAAGGCAGCACGGCTAAAAGCTGTCTGCTGTACCTGGGCGGCCCGGTCGACTTCAAAACGCATCCTGACAGCTCGATACATGGGCTGGACCCCACCTTTATAATCCACACCCAGTTGAATTAGGTCGCCATCCTGAATGGTGAAGGGTCGGCTACTGGTATTGGCTGGCGATAATCTGGCGCGATTCACAAAAGTGCCACTGGAGGACCCTGAATCCTTGATATAGATCTATTGAGTGAAAAAAAGTGCTTCAGTTTTTTTTGTTTTTTTTTTTAGGACAGCTCCTTGACCTGGAACCTGCTGATTAGTTTATTGTGTCTCGCTCACTCTCTTGCCTCGACCTCCCTCATCCCCTGCTTCTCCTTTTTTTTTTTTTTTTTTCAACATGTTTGTGCCTGTTTATTATCTCCTTTTTTCCCAGTACACCCAATCGTTCGCTCTGCCTATTTTTTTTTTCTTTCGACAGTGTCCCCTTAAAACTTACCCGACCATCTTCTTGCCATATTTCAGCATGACACCGACTAACAACTTTAGACTTGAATGACAAACGATCAGGGCTAGAGTTGCGGTCACTGTATCGTCCTAGTTTCAACACCACACCAGAGTGAAGTGTTCGGTCAATGACGTCAAATACAAAGCAGCGAGTGGCCAAACCGACATTGGGAACCAGACGAATTCGATGTTCTTGTACAACCGCCCGGGGAGGAGGAACAGCGGAGGGCGTAGGAGGAGACGGAGTTGTTGCCTCTTGCTCTTCCACAGTGATCGTTTGTCGCTGTTCGCTATTAGACATGGTGTGACGATGGGTACGGCGCAAACTTGCAAAGCCTCGGGAGAGCAGTGGTGAGCTATTCATATGGGTTGAGCTTGTTGATTGACTTCGTAGGCGACCGTTTGGCATGACAACAATGACAAGCGAACAAAAAAGAAAAGGGAAAAGAGAGAAAGAAGACTTAAAGGAGTATAAAAAGATCTATGAAAAAAAAAAAAGTACAAAAGAGTGAACTAGTAATAAAACAGAAAAAAAAAAAAAAAAGGAGGTTAAGAGTGGAAGATGAGAAAGAGAAAGAAAAAAAAAACCAAAGTGTTTTGGAGTAAACGAAATAAAAAAGGATTCAAGGACAAGCCAGCGGGTTCCCCTTTTTTTGTCCAAAAAGGAACCCCGCCGTTAGAAAATTCATGCACGGAGAGAGTTCATGACGACAAAGAAAAACCTCCTTGATTTATTTTCTTGCAAGAATCATCATATATTAAAAGCCTGGAAACAAAAAACATTGAGTAAAACAGGTTCCTTTTTTTGGGTAGATTCCTTACCATAACGGCGACGAGCTTCATTTTTAACAATACGTTGCTGAGCATATTGGTCTTCCAAGGTTTGCTGCATATTTCTTGCTTGGGCTGCCAACGCCATAATATTGTTCTTTTTCTTTTGCAGGGCATTTGCTTCCATCTACCGCAGAGCGTCAGTAAAATTAAAATGACAATGGCCTCCGTCTTACCGAGGGTCCCATCAGATCAGCGGGTAACTTGGGCTGTGATTCCATGGCTCGTCTTCTCCAATCTTCACTGGGTAACATATCCGTCTGATTAAGATCAACAATTTTGACACCTGCATCCTCACCACGGCGTTTTCCACCGAGTTGACTAAGCTATAAACAGAAAGAAAACAACCGTGGATCAGCCCACATTTCAAATCCACCTCCTTATTTTTTTTTTCCTTTACCACATCCGAATCCAAGGTTTCATTGTGAGAAGCACCGTCGCTTTGCTGTTCATAGTATTGATAGTAGGCAGCGTACGCATTTGGATCAGCACCATATGCATAGATGGCATTTGGATCGTCAAGTTCCACCTGTTCCGCCGTCTGTTGAGTCTTCTCTAATGTCGTTGGTCTTGTTGGCTGTGATGGCTTGGCTTTGGAGGTTTCCCGAGCCTTTCCTTTCAGTTGATGCCCTATTGTCCGTCAAAAAAAAAAAAAAAAAACGAGTGAGACAGCCGTCGACGGACCTCCCACAAAGAACTTGCCAAGTTTGAAAAATGAGCCGGCATGGCTGGTGCTGATATGCTCTTCCTCATCGTCGTCGTCGTCGTCTTCCTCTTCCGCCTCCTTTTCTATCATGTCTTGGGCTGCCGTTGACACTGGCAGTGCGGGCAATGTTGGTTGTGGAGAAGGTTTGGCTAGCGCAGAGCCATGAACGGCATGGGCAACAGCCTTGGCGGAGGAGGATGGTGTTGGTTTCTTGAAGAGCGAGTTTTTAGGTGCCGGCAACAGATCGGTCAGACTGGCACCTTTGTTGGCCACCTTTAATCGCTTTTTGGGTTGATCGTCCTCTTCGTCGTCTTCAAGATTGTGCTGATCAACAGGGACATAAAAGACGGCTTTCTTTTGCTGGATGGGACGTTCCTGCTTCTGACTTTTTGGGGGTGGAAGCAGCTGAGACAGCGTTGATGTGCGTTGAGGTTGGTCATCTTCAGAATCTGACCCACTGCTATCGTAATTAGCTACCAAAGACATGGTTGAATATATAAAAAAAAAAAAAATGACGGAAGAGAAGTGTGGTTGGAGCCTGGCGGAGCCAAAAGTCACATCAAGCCTTTTTTTTTTTCGTTTGTAGGCCGCTTGTTTTGTTTTTTTCTCTCTCTCTTTTTTTTTCCAGTCGTTTGTTATTTTTGCTAGTGATCATGGCCAGTCGTTCATTCATCCAAGCATTAGCTTCCAAGCAGCCTTTGTATAGACTATCAAATGGTAAGGCGCTGTGGCATTTGTCCTTGGAAAGGCGAGGTGCATGTTGACTGACCTTTTTTTTTTTAAAAAAAAAAAATATAATATAAAAGTTTGCACTCGATCTTTCACCAGCAGCGTTGTCCGATGCCAACAAGCTGCTACCGAACCCATCGTCCCTTCTTCTCCTGACGATTTGAAGAAACCCATTCGACACAGTGTCCGCGCTAGTGAGCCAATCACCCCATACAATATGACAATTGCCAAGCTGCTTGCCGCCGGTCTCCACTTGGGCCATTCCACCAGTCTGTGGGAACCCTCCACCCTCCCATTTATCTTTGGTACCCGTGAAGGCATCAGCATCATCAACTTGGAACATACCTTGGTATACCTTCGACGGGCCTGCAACGTCGCCCGGGAAGTCGCTCTTCGTGGAGGCAACATTCTGTTCATTGGCACTCGCCCTGGCTTCCAAAACCTGACGATCGATGCTGCTCGTCAATGCGATGGCTACCACGTTTCCAGCAAATGGATCCCTGGCACACTGACCAATGCTCACCAAGTCCTTGGTCGTCATGCCCCCCCTGATCCTGAAGATCCCGGTCGCCCTCCCAAGACCTACAAGCCCGACTTGATCGTCCTGTTGAACCCCCTGGAAAACCCCATTGCCATTGCCGAAGCCCAGCTCAACAAGATCCCCATCATCGCCATCACCGATACAGATTATGATCCTCGCTTGGTCACTTACCCTATTCCTGCCAACGATGACTCTATCCGCGGTGTTGAATTGATCGCCAAGGTCATCTCCACAGCAGCAAAGGATGGTGTCTTCCGCCGCAAACAGCTCCTGGACCAACAAGAAAAGGCTGCCAAATTCTCTAGACAACAACACCAACAACGACGCTAAAAAAAATATCTCGCCCTCCCTCACTTCCATCACCCTCTCTTTTGCATATACACACCCTCTCTTTTTCTTTTTTTTTTCCGGATAGATTTGTAAGATACGAGTAAATAAAAAAAAAAAAAAGATGTACCAGCTCCAGATTGCAATGAATTTGTGCTTCTGCGGAGAGGCTCCCATCGGCTGCCCAGATTTTTGGACAGCCAATGGATTTTTGGGACAGCACCTGCACTTTTTGCCTAGTCACCCTACTTTTTGCGTACCTTTTTTTTTTTCCTAAGCGATTTTTTCTATAATGCCATGCACCGTACAAGTGAATCGGGTCAAGGTGTCCTACAAAAAAAACATAGACTGGGTTAAAAAGCTATCCTGTCCAACCTTTTTTTGGGTTGTCCGATTTTTTTTTTTTTTTTGCTGCTTGCCGTCGACAATGGTAAAACTTGGGTAAAAATAAATACATCGAGTCGATGACAATCTTTTCCATATTTTTGATTTCGACAATTTCAAAAAAGAGGCTACCGGAAAAAAAGATTTCAATGGTTCAACCAGGCGGCGGGGATTTTACTTGGGATTGGGCAGCGGCTGTATGAGAACTGCCTTGGGCGTTCTACCCGAGCTCTCTGGTAAGGCGATCACTGGCTAGCTGATCAAGCTATACTTGATTTCAGTCAAGATTATTTTTTTTTGCTAGCAAAGGTGCAGGCTCAATTTTTTTTTTTGGCAATGGCGCCAGGTGAGTCAGGACCTACCATTTTTGGCAATTAGTACAACGTCCGCTTTCAGCCGCCGATCCGAGGACGGCCAATGATGACGTCACTATCTCGACGATGGATGACAGTTTTTATGGCATTCCTCTCCATTTACGCATCCCCGGGACCTAAAAACGAGCATACACAACTATTTACCTATTGTCATTGTAAAAGTGATGTATTTGGGCCTGTTTTCGCGCAAAAAAATTGGTGGAAAATTTCTGGAGGCTCAGTATCCCGAGACGCCCCGACAAGGCTTTGTGATGTAATCGGCTAGCATGTCAGACTCTGAATCTGTATATCCGAGTTCGAGTCTCGGCAAAGCCTTCTTTTTGGACTTTTTTTTTGCCAATTGGCGTCATCGCTTAATTTTTCCCAGCATCGGTTCTTGGCAGTCCGCAGACGCCTCTGGCTACGAGAAGCGATCATGTGTTGTGGAAGTCTTTGTCTCACAGATAGAAAGGCACCTAAAAACACACACACAGACTCCTTTTTTTTATCTTTTGACGTAGTAAATCTATGCAGAGAAAAAAAAAAGTCATCCCTTTTTTTTTTTTTTTTTTTTTTTGCACAGTGTTTTGAGTGGTGTTCTTTTGGTGCGAGCTTGTTGGTCACTACAAGTGGGTCGTCTTGGCGGGATTGCTCACGACATCCACCAAGAGCCAGTGCTCATCCTATCGTTCAGGCTGTTATTAGACAATCACAGCCAGTGCATATGAATCTTGGCGCGTTAGGACCCATTGCTTCGTCCTAGCCATAGACTTCTCTGTCGTCTCTCGACGCAGTCGTACCATGGCGGCTATGGTGTCCGTTAAATGATCTGGCATTAGCTCAAAAAAATAGGCCCGCTCTGGAAAAGGTGCAACGATCTTCCATCGAGAACCTGCCTCCTCTCCCCTGGACAACAAAGTGACCTCATGTAGCAGGATGGAACTGGGTAGGCTGCGTTTACAAAAGGCGATGAAAGCCTTGGCTGAACTCAAAAGTTTCGAGGTTTCGACATCAAGATTTGCTACAATGCTTGAATGAATTCGAGTGGTTATGTCATTCCTGCTTGCCTGGCAACTTCCGGATTCCCAAACGACACTTTATTGACATTCAGAAGTGGAGAGAGTGTAAAAAAAAAAAAAAACCTGTGAGATAAAATGAGTGATGTGCAAGGGTGGAATCATGGAATTGGTTGAGAAGATGATAAAAGGTGGCGTGGCGATATATTAAACAAGAGGGATTGTCGTTTATGACCGGTTGCCTCGGCTACGTTCCAAAGCTAAAAAAAAAAAAAGGTGAGCATCAAACAGGTAAAAGAACAAAAGACTTACGATTATAATGCAACAGTTTTTCAATGAGATCCACATGTGTCAAAACCATACGTCTGCAGCAGTATCGCTTCAAGCCAAGAGCATCAAGAGCTTCCCTATGATCATAAACAACAAAAAGGGTGGACGGTAAATGGGCGTGTTTTCATTTTGGGCTATTACCCTTCGGTATATTCGGCTTGTAACAAGGACAAATAGTTGTCCCATTTGTTACCAATGACCTTGCCACAGGAGAAACAACGAACGGGAATGATCATGATGTGTTTGTAAAAAAAAAAGTTTGAAAAAGAGGAAAGAGTGGAAAAATGGAGACACTGTAAAAAAAAAAAAAAAAAAACTAAGCCTTCTCCGCCGGCCATTTCGGATTTTCCCGTTTTCCATCAAGATTTCAGCACTCTTGTTCACACTTCCATTTTTGACAAGCGTGAGTCACTTTGATCACGCAGCAAGCAATATAAAAATCGACGTTTTTTTTTCACACAGCCTCTTTTTCTTCTTCTTCTTGATCACCACTTTTTCATATAGACACACAGCATGGCCACGATTGACGGACAGCGTTTTGATTTTGGTGACTTGATCACGATTGGTGCGCAAGGCAAGGTGCTGAGCGTAGGCGATGCTGAATCGATCGTGCCAGTGACTTTGGAAACGCTGGACCAAGATCGTCCTCACGTCATTCTGGTAGCTGGCAATCAAAGACTGGAGCCTGACCATTTCTACCTGACCTTCAAGTATGCCCGTGGCTTCTTATTCGCTGAAGATGGCGTGCTGAAAAATGGTGCTCCTTGGACCGAGCGTACTGTTTTTAATGAAGCGAGCTTGAAAAAGCTCATCGGATTGTCCACCCTGGAAATCCAACACGTTGAGATCGAAGATCATTGAAAAAAAAAAGAAATTACCCGTGGGAAACCTTTGCAAATAAATTCGGCTTCTTGCCCTCTCTCCGCCTTTTTTCCTCTCCTTTTCTTTGTCAACCATCCTTTCTATGTTTTCTTCATTGTCTGTTGTATCAAAGCGACTTGGTCAGTCATCATTGCGATCTCAAGTAAGATTTTCTACATTGCTAAAAAGGAAATGCTGACGTTTCCGCCTCTTTGGAACAGGTACGATGCTTGTCTTCTACCAAAGATTTTGTCAAGATTGTAGAAGTGGGTCCTCGTGATGGTCTCCAAAATGAAAAGCAAATCATCCCTGCCGAAACCAAAATCGAACTCATTGAACGATTGGCAAATGCTGGCTTGCCGGTTGTCGAAGTCACCAGCTTTGTCAGCCCTAAATGGGTCCCTCAAGTATGTCTCTCTATGAAAATGGCCTTGGTGACTGATTCTTTCTTGTCACTCTCATAGATGGGTGACAACAAACAAGTGTTCACTGGTATTAGAAAGCTTCCCAACGTCAACTATCCTGTGCTGACGCCTAACCGCCGCGGCTTGGAAGGCGCCATCGAAGCCGGAGCCGAAGAAGTCGCCCTGTTCGCCGCCACCACCGAATCGTTCAACCGCAAAAACACAAACTGCTCGACAGACGAAGCCATTGAGCGTTTCAGTGAAGTCGCCAAGATGGCTCTGGATGCCAACTTGCGTGTGCGTGGGTATGTGTCGTGCGTGGTTGGCTGCCCCTATGAAGGCGAAGTGGACCCTGCCAAGGTGGCCGATTTGTCTCAGCGTCTGTACGAAGCTGGTTGTTACGAAATCAGTTTGGGTGATACCATCGGTGTCGGTACCGCTGGCTCCATGGCCCGTATGTTAGACCATGTGCTCAAGGTCGTGCCCTCCGAAGCCCTGGCTGTCCACTGCCACGATACCTATGGCCAGGCTTTGGCAAACATCCTCAAATCTTTGGAATACGGCATTCGTGTTGTCGACAGCTCTGTTGCCGGCCTCGGTAATTTTTTTCTTGGTCCTTTCCGACTGGTTGTATTGACCGTTCTATTTCGCTAGGTGGCTGCCCATATGCTCCAGGTGCCAAGGGTAACGTCGCTACAGAAGATGTGGTCTACATGCTTCAAGGCTTAGGGTACGAAACGAACGCCAATTTGGATCAACTGGTCGACATCGGCAACTGGATCTCTGACAAGCTTGGCCGCCCCACCAACTCCAGAGCCGGTGCTGCTCTGACCGTTGCGAGAGAACGTCAAGCCAAACTGAAAGAAGCTGCTGCTGCTGCCAAATTGTAGAATTCAATAAAATCTAACACGTGTATCATTCTTCGTGCGCTTGGGAGTTCCTCTTTTTTTTTTCTCGCATACTTGGCTCTTTTTGGCCATGCTTCTTTTGTCCAGAGGCCGCATAAAAAAAAAAAAGGAAAGGCGGCATTTGTTGAGCTCCTTTTTTATTTTTGCCTCATTTTCTCAACTTTTGCATGGCTCGATCAAAACGAAAAGGAAAAGAAAGCGCAGTACCCTTCCCTCTACCCCTCACATCGTCACGGCTGACCTGGGGAGAGTGGATCTCCAGCTGGATCCAACCACCCCAACATGAGCGGATCAAGGCAACCTACATGGACTTTGGCAAGTTTGTTTGGGTGGCATCCGTCTCCCAAGATCGATTGATCAAGCAAGGCTTCTTTGGCAAAGGAACACTGTCTCGGAGTATACCAACATGGGATGCTCGTAGGGAACAAGTCAACAGTAAGCGCCCATGCAAGCGTGTTTCTTTTTTTTTTAACCATCGACCTTTTCCCTCCCCACCAGATCCGAGACTCGAGTTGGCGCCTGAACAAGTGACAGCAAAACGACGATCCAAGCGACGCGAACAAAAGCAGCTTCGAGCCGGCATGCAAGTGACAGCAACCAACCCAGAAGAGATGTATACCATGGAAGAGTTAGCCGCTTGGACAGGCGGCCGAGGTTACGAACAATTCCAGCTGGACCTGTATGAAACGTTCTTCCTTTTGTATGCCTTGGACGTGCTGGACCTGGAAAACAAGGTAGAGTCGAACAAGAGCATCATGCCAAAGGAATGACCCCCCCCCCTTTTGTAGCACGGGACCAAGATGACGACCACGGACTGCTGGTCTCTCTTTCACCAATGCACCGAGCAGTTCGCTTACCACTTTGCTGCCTATCATTACTACCGAAGTCAAGGCTGGGTACCGAAGGATGGATTGAAATTCGGCGTCGACTTTGGTAAGCTGGCTAACTCGCCATAAGAGAATCAAGTGCTTATGCCCCCGATTCCTCCCTAGTGCTCTACCAACAGGGTCCAACGTCCAAACACTCGGATTTTTCCGTCCTTGTGATCCCATGTGTCACGACTGCCGTGCAAGATACCTCAGATCACCACGATACCACTATGCAGCTGTTGACCCAGCCTCACGACCAAGCACCCCATGCAAGCTGGGTCAACCTGTTACGCATCAACCGCGTGTGTGCCCATGTCAAAAAAACACTGGTGCTGTGCTACGTCTCCATGGACGCCTCGGTCGCCCACAAAGCCACCAACGACCCATCTGTCCTCAACCATTGCCACATTCATGAGGTCGTGTTCCGGCGCTGGTCTCCCTCTGCCAACAGAGAATAGCCACTTTGCCCATGGAAAATAAAAGAATAAATCAAAAAGGTCCAGAGCCCATGAGGCGGCCATCGATCGGAGTTGGCCTGTTTTGGCTGGGAAAAGGCTTCTTCATGTTCACCATTTGTCGAGGAGAACGTCATGACCTAGGGCGATGGTAAAAAGTCCAGCACTCTCTGCTGACAGGGATGTCCAGCAACAGAACGCTTCTTGCGGACCTTGAATGGGCGGGTCCTGTTGCTCACAGGAGGATGTGCGGCGGAGCTTTGCAAAGCGCTTGCAGAGTGCACACGCAATGGCTTGGAAAAAAATAGAGTGCACACGCACGACTTTTTCTTTCTTTCTTTTTCTTTTCTTCTTCTTGTCCCTTCACTACTCTTTCCCTTACATATATAATGGCCAGCCAATCTCAACCACAGCAGCCTAACGATCCCACAAAAAAGATGGCCCAACTTGGTGCCTTGGAAGAAGACGATGAATTTGAAGAATTCTCTCCTGA